GAGGGGCACGTTGACCGTGCTCTCGGCGGGCCAGGCGTGCGCAAGGCAGAACTCAGCTACTGCCCTCTCCTCCCTCGGGTCTGACCGTCCCCAACAGAAAAGCTTTAGGAAGCGAGAGGGGCTGGTGCTCTAGTGCTGCAGGAAGGAAAACTAGTCGTCTCGGGGCAACGAGACCTGCCCCGGCACGCCAGGTGTCACAGATGGGCTCCTCAGCTGGCAGGGAGCCCCTGCAACAGGGCAACCTGCAAATCAGCCTTTGCCACTCTCCCCGTGTGCCAGCCCCCTTCCTGCCTGTAGCCCTGGCCTGAGAGCTGGGCTCCGACCTGCTTGCGAGGCAACCTGGCACAGAGGGACCACGGGTGGCACAGGAGACGGTTCTTACCTGCAGCCGTGGCTGGGAATAGGGCAGAGACCTGAGCCTTTTCCAGGTCACCTGCCCCTTTACGTGCAAGGGGCACAGGAGAAAACCCCCTCGCTGCAAGAGGGCCTCGGACGCGCGGCTGGGGGCTAGCGCAATCTGCCTGTCAGTCTAGCAGTCTGCATTGCAGAGGGCCCAGCTACGGGCAATCCCAGGGCTGGGAAGGGTGCAGAGTGGTGGGGGAGGGGACACGGAGAGCTGTCGCTAGCGACATGCCTGCGGGAGATGCCTGTAGCAAGGCCTCTAAGGGAGGGCAAACCCAAACCAAGGCAAAGCGTCAAGTGGGGAAGGCAAAGGCGGAGAAAAGGCTGAGTAGCTGGGGTGAGGTGGAGAGGCAGGAGGTCAGGCGGTGGGCGTGGAAGGCGATCTTACGTTTTCTTTTAATGCCAGTTCCTTTTTCTCTCTTTCTTTTGGTTGAAGGAAAGTGCTTCTGAATTAGTGATAGAAAGACGCCTCTGAAAGTAAGATGCAAAATTTATTCTAGCTACCAGGAGCAGGAACATCTGCTGGTTACAGTCTATCAGCGGGCACGAAGAGAGGGAGCTGTGTCCTGGGGAAAGGCGCTAACCCAAGCGTTCGGTAACTGGCAGTGGCGCCGAGCGATCACCGATTAGTGTCGCTGGAGCGGAGGGATGGCATCAGCTGGAAGGGGGGGGTGGCGGCGGCTGGCCACCCCTGGGAGCGAAGCCAGAGAGCTCGGCCGGCTCCGGCAGGACCCTGGCCTTGCGAGACGCTCACGGAGGGCAGGGCAATGTCGACCTAAGGAATGCAACGCCAGCTACACGAATAGCACAGCAGGAGTCGCCAGACCTGAGGTCAAGTCGCTGGGGGGTCTCCACTGCGGGGGATGGAGAGAAACTCTCCCGTCTACTTCCCTTATGTGTCTCCTTCTAGTAAGTAACGGAGCTGACAAGAGTGATCAGTGGTTGATTTAGTGGGTCTTTACTACACCCGCTAAATCGAGCCCCGGGGGATGGATTGCTGTGTAGGCCTGCGCTGAGGGCTTGCCCTGTGTTGTTCTACAGGTGGAGAACTGCTCTCTGCTTTACACTGCCTGCTACTCCTGCTGGATGGAGGCAGCACACACAAAATGCCACGGGCATTGCACTGCCAGGAGACAGGCCAAACCAGCACAGCCTTCAGAGCACACCGGAGCAAGGGGTGAAGTGCGACGCGCTCTCTGCTAGGAAGTTGTTCCATTATTACTGCAAACACTGGGATGTTCCAACACCTAAAGCATCTCCTCGAGCGCTGCGTGGCCTAAAGGTGCCGACCCTGGGCCGTGTGACCATCCTGGCTGAAGTGAGACTCTCTGTCCAGAGCTAACGAACATGCCTTGATTGGCCTAAGGGGGACTGCTCGCCGGCCGGGCCTGGCCAGTGAGAACACGCTGTGGCTCTAGGTGGATGGAGAAATCAGAAGAGGTGGAAATCAAATGGAGGCGTTTGTGGGCCGCATGGCAAACGAAAGAGTAAATGCTTCGATGCTGGCTGGACTGCGGGGGAGGGGGAGGGCAGCGCTGAATGAGTTTGGGCTGAAACAAATATGGAAAGCAACAGCCGAGAGGTACGGGCATGAGTCCCACCCCTGGGAGCCAGGGGTATTTGGGGAAGAGAGGAGGGGCTCTCGGGCCAGGCTGGGCCACCACAGGAGGTGCGACAGGGACAGGGGCAGAAACACCACAGCCTGGAGGAACAGAAGGGTGGGAGCTAAACGAGAGCTATTGGTGGCACTGGGAAGGCGCCGGACTGGCTCTGGGTGGAGATCTACGGCCCAGAGAAGGTGGAGGCATGGTCCTTCCTTCCAGCCAGGGTCCCGGGGCTGAGTCCCTTGCTATGAAACCCAGCCTGTCGACCAACTGTGTTTTCTCCCTCTGCTCCCCTGGGATCCCCACCCGCACGGGTTTGTAGACGCCAAACAGCCTTCCCTTGGTGTGTCAGCCTCATTCACCCCACTGCTCCTGTGCGGCCACGTTCCCCTCAGCCCCCATCACTGACAGCTTCAGACCCAGGAAGCAGCAGCCTCATTCGATACTGGCTCTGCCCCGCAAGTAGACTCCCGCCCCACCGGAAGGGGACAGACGGCCAGCACGAGTGGTAGTTAGCAGCGCTTCACCTCTGACAGGCAGAGCTAGGAGCCAGAAGGGACCGCCACGATCCGTTCCGACAACCTCTCCTGGCCTGTCTTACGCAGCTCTCCAACTCCAGTGGGTTTGCTCTGGGGGAGGGGGACAGGGTCCGGACTGGCGCCCCTGGCCTGGGAGAGGCTAAGGCTGAGCTACCCTGCACGTCACGGCGTAGTTAGCAGCGCTTCACCTCTGACAGGCAGAGCTAGGAGCCAGAAGGGACCGCCACGATCCGTTCCGACAACCTCTCCTGGCCTGTCTTACGCAGCTCTCCAACTCCAGTGGGTTTGCTCTGGGGGAGGGGGACAGGGTCCGGACTGGCGCCCCTGGCCTGGGAGAGGCTAAGGCTGAGCTACCCTGCACGTCACGGCTCACTCCAGCTCTGCCCATCAGCAGTGAACAGCGAGGTAAGCAAAACCAGAAATCTAGCAGCAGCCTGCTGGGTGCCCAGGCCCTAAGGAAGCGCCTCTCGCCCGGGGCTTGCTCCAGCCAGTCATTTGGGCTTCCTGCCACCTGACATGCAGGGGCAGCTGGGCTCATGGGATAAGGGACCATCTTCAAAGCATCGAAGCGAGTTGAAAGCCGAGGACTTGGGTTCCCGCAAAGCCCATGACACTTTGGAAAATGGGACTCGGTGCTTTTTAAGATGCCCCCATCAAACACAGCTGACTGGGCACTGGGTGCAATCCGCTCTCCAATCAATGGAGAGAGAAACACGCCAATCAAACCATCGCAGACTAGGGGCAAGGTGAGCTAATCCGGATTCTGCTCTGGACTCATGCTGAAAGGCAATATTCCTGAAACCAGGACTTTTGGTGGGACATCAAGAGATTGTCCAAAATTCAGGGGGGACCGAGGGAGGGAAGGGATTTCACCCCACAGCATGCCTGTAAGATCTCAATATCTGTCTCAATCAGATTATCTTGCTCACTTATTTTTAATCCTGTACCTTGAAAAGTATTTGCTCTCTTCCCACGGCTGGGAGAGCCGTACTTTCCAGGGTGGGCTCCCCCAGAAATGCGCATGCACCTGTTGTGCCCATGCGAACCTGTATGTGGGTACACAAGTCAGCCTCCTGCGCATCTGGCTGCCCTCATGTGTGTGCAGCTACGATAGCTGCTTGTGCAAGGCTGCTGCCCTCGGATTTAGCACAGTCTCTCAACAGCCCAGCAGAATGGCCTCTGGAGGTGAAGCGTGTTTGAGGCTTGAGGAACGGTGTTTACAGGACCACGGGAGGCCTCCCATGCTACCTGCCCCTCCAAGCACAAGGGGGTCAACTCACTCTGCAGCGGAGACAAAGCAGTTGAGGTGTCCGTCATTCTCGTCCAAGACCTCCCTGGTGCGAGCTTCGCCGGTGGACTGGAGCCCGATGACGATGCACTGGAGAGAAATCAAAGGGCAGCGCGGCTCTGCGTTAGCGAGAGGAGGCCCCGCTGTGTTTTGCAGGGTTGCCACACGCCCGGTTCCAGAAGGGATGACGTTTGCCAGCACCTTCTACCTGAACCCCAGTGCCCCAGGCACACACGGAGACCTTGGCCCTGAATCTTGAGATGCTCTCTCTCCACGCCTCGGGTTCTACGTGCACCTGCGGGGCTAAACACTGGGATGATGCTTCATTATTACAGCCACTGGAGTTTCCTGGCATCTCTCTCAAATTGCCAAAGCCCGTCCAAAGGGCTGCGAGGCCACGTGCATTTACCCATGGAGAACCCAGCAGCTGGCAGCTCTAAGTCGACTCCGAATGCTATTTCCGGAACGTTTGCTCGTGTTTACCATGAAACATCAAGCAGCCTTTGTTCTGAATGGGGGGAAATTAAACACCTGAAATCCTGGTTTCGCCCACGGAGACGAGGCACCTTTAAGTCAATGACGTAAGACGATATATGCTGCCTTTTCATTGTGCACAATCAGACTAGCGCCCACGTGCCTGAAGATACCCTCATTCAGGCTTTTACCCCACCCCTCCGTTTGTACAGAGGTCGCGTTCTATACAATGCACATCTGGGCCTCCACATTCAAAGGAGTTTGACCATGACCAGCAATGATTCACCTGCCTGCCTGAGCCCTGAGGGATGCCAGACGGGCACTGACCACTGCTCCCGCCCCTTGGCCCTGGTTCCTAAATCACCTTGTCCTTTGCCAGCTCCTCCTTGGCGAGCGCCACGAGGCGCTGGACTTTAGCAGCGATGCAGAGATATTTGAAGAAGCGCTGGTGAGCCGACCAGAACTGACCCCACAGGGACTTTCGAGACTCCATGCCAATATAGTCAGCCGCCTGCTGGAACACCCTCATGGCCTCTGCCCACTGAAAGCGCACACAAGAGGGACAGTTAATACTCCCGTCCCTAAGTCGCGTCACAACATCACACAAGGTTATTAAAACGATCAGGGCCTTGAATACCTAATTTATTGTCCCGGTTTTTGCTCTTTGTTTACTTCTTGTGTTCCATTTAGCTAGGACAATGAAGAGACCAGTCAATTTCCACTTCCTGCCTTAACCAATTAAATGGAGTTTTACATCCCTAGTCCATGACTGGGCTCTGAGGTTTTATAGCAATTAGGGCTGTCAATTAACGCGTTAAGGCCTGCAATTAATGCAGGGCAGAATTAACATGTTAAAAAAAAATTAATGTGTGTTAAATGACAGGAGTTCCACATGGCGCTGCCCCTTTGAAATGCCACCGCGGTGTTTCAAAGGGGCAGCACAATGCAGAGCCTAGGGTCAGTTGGGGTCGTCTTATTGTTTAACAGCGCGATTAATCTCACGATTAATTTATTTAATCCCTTGACAGCCCTAGTAGCAATACAAATAATAACGGATACTAATGAGTTTGATCAGTATTCAGCACTTAATGTTTGAATCACACTGGGAAGTTGTTGTAAAGAGAGTCAGCTGGTTCTCACCCATCTGGGGACCTGGCCATATGCCCTCACATATACAGCTCATATACACAGACAGCAGTAAAGCAGCCACCTCCGGCCCTCTTGCACACGCGGCCCACACCAGGACGGGACCCGAGCTGACCAAATGACCGAAGGCACCCCAAGCTCTAATGCAGGAGGCAGTGGGTAGATGGACTTGACTTCTTGAGAACTCGTCACAGCCCTTCCCCCGAGCGATACCGTAGCCCTTGGGGGGCGGGGGGGTAGGGATGCTGGGGACCTGCCGAAATCCCATCTCACCAGCTGTGCTGCTTTGTTGTAGACCCGTTCATACTGCTGGTCCAAGGGGATCTCCTCGATCCTGAAAGTGACTCCAGAGAAGCTGAGCTGCCTGGCGATGTACATGCCGCTCACTTTCATGTCCATGGCCACGATCTCCATAGCACCAACACCCCTGGCAGGGAAGGAGGAAGATGACACGGCCGGTGAGGAAATCCCTTCCCATGGCCCAGCTGCAGAGCAGGCTTGTCTGGGGTTCAGAACCCTGGAAGGTTTTGCTTTGGCTGCTGTTGTCTTCAAATCCGAATAGAAGACGCCCCAGTATCCTGGCACACACGCAGCCGGCCCTGTGCCTGTCCCACAGGCGGGGGAGTCGCGTCACCTTTCTGCAACCCCCTCCCTCCCCCCGAGTCTGAGATAGAACCAGGAAGAGCATCAGGTGACGTGAGCGCATAGCTCCTCCTCTGAGCCCTGCACAGCGCAGCCCAGGACAAGATCCTTTTTCCTGTGACTCTGCAGAGACATGGGCAGCGGCCTGGGCCAGCGGCTCTAAGCTCTGGGGGGTGGCCTGGAGCACAGCAGCCAGACACGCTGCATTCCACGAGGGAGCCGGCAGGGCACAGCCAGCGAGCTACTGATTCAAAGCCAACCGCGTTCCCCAACCCATCCGGAGGCTGCTGCCAAATGCAGGATTATGGGAAGGAGAAACCAGAAAGGTCCCCCAGGACCTACCTCTTCTCAATTGCATGGAGGAAGTCATCGAACACTCTGAAGGGAGTCCCCTCCCCCCAGATCCCGAGCCGGCTCATGTAAATCATGTTTTTTGGCTCAGAGGCACCTGGGTGAACAGAACGTGCTGTCAGCAAAGACACAGGAACTATAAATAGTTTTGCCTGAGGCAACCTCTGCAAGAGATGGGCAGCAGGCCTCAAGTGACCCTCCCGCTGGAGCACTTAGACCCATGTGGAAGTGTTTCAGAAAGGAGAGCTGTTCCCCACGCGTCCGCAGGGCCTTTCAGCAGCGGCTCCCGGGAGCTTTACAAACGTCAATCCTCACGATACGCCCGTCAGGTCAGCGTCACTACGAACGAGCAGGAAAGTTCAAGTGACTTGCCCAAATATCCTATGGCACGTCAGTGGCAGAGCTGGGAGCAGAAACTAGGAGTCCTGCATTGCAGTCCTTTGCGTGAAGATGGAACAGGGGATTCCCTGCACCTTCTAGGACCCTCCACCGCCCCTCCCTGTGGTTTAAAATGGAGTTCCACAGCTTGTGCTTTTTGGTGGGTTCCTTAGCACTTAACCTGGGCTACAGGCAATTTCCTCCGGGGGAGGGCTGGAGGACTGGGCAGCTTCTGCATGTTTACACCCGGGGTCTCAGGGACTCAGGTGGCGCAGACACTTTACCTGTGGCACTGGCATAGACGACCCTCGCTAGAGGCAGTTTGTTCTGAAGGTCCAACACTGCTTTGCCCATTTTAGTGGAGCTGGCATTTTTGGCTTTGTGGCATTCATCAAACACAATCTGCGAGGGAATGGCGGTTAAGGAGAAAGGACGCGCATTCTGCTATGGTCAAATAAAATACCAATGCCAGTAATCACAGGATGGAGAGAGAGAAATACGATCCATCTCCTTCCAGCGGAGCTAAACCACCAGCAAACATGGACCAGCGCTGCCACTGCACGGTCTTTTACTCCATTCTCCCCTGGCTCCGGCTTCCCACCATTGGCCATAAATCTCCACACTCTGTTATTTCCCATGGAACGATGGCCCAGTCCCCACACAGCTGCCAAGGGAGGATGCTGAGAAGGTCTGTTACTGACACATACCCTGGCTCTCTCCCTGCCCACCTGCTGGTCCTCTGACTGGCGGGATTTTCCAGTGAGCCTCAGTAGCACAAACCTAGTGACTCCGCATGGGAACTGTGCGCCCAAATCACTCAGGAGTCCGAAACGCCCGCCCCCCCCATTCCATGCCGCCGCCGTGTTTCCGAGAAGTGAGGGCAATTTTCACATATTTTGCTTTCACCACTGGCTGATGTCAGTGCACTCGGTCACCTTGGGCCACACAATTACAAACATGCTGCTGGTTCGCTAGGATACAACTCCATCAAAGTTCTCCCGGCACCAGTCCAAAATCTGCTTTAACCGTGTCCTGTGCTGCCCGCCTGCCTGGCTTTCACCAATCAGAGCAGAGTAAGTGGCAAAGAGGACTCCTTCGGAGGTAGCTGTGTCGCCATATTTAATCTACGGGGGAGGGAAAAGAAAGAGACGACTTACAGTGCTGTCGGGAGCACATCTTATTCCAACTCAGAACAGATCTGGAGCACTAATGACTTTTCAACGTGACGACGCACAGCAGCAAACACAGCTGCTCTATACAAGCAATTTCCACATCACAGAGCCCAACTGGGCAGAACAGCACGGTTTTCCTCACCAATAACCGTCCTCTTTAACGCTAATATTGGCACAGAGATTCCATGCGGACGGGGACTTTCAATTCCTAGATACACCCCTCGAGTGGCCAGCATGCGGGCACTCCGCGTGCATTTCACCAGCAAGTGGAAACTTTACTTGGACTTCAATTTCTTGGCTGAGTGAAGCCACTTAATTCTTTTGCATCACAGAATGCTTAAACTGTTGTGATTTTAAATATCCTCTGCTCTGCTTTGTTTCCTTTCCTGTTTGACTGAAGAGGAGACGACTGTTTAGCCTACAGCAGGGGTGGGGAACAAACAAACCCCTCACTGACCTCGCCCCAAGTGAGAAGGGGAAAAACAACCCCCAGGCCCCAGCTGAGAAGGGGGGGGGGGGGCGAAAAAAACATTCACCTCACTCTCCTTCAAGCTCCAGACTCACAGAGGAGCGAGGGGGGGCGAGGAAGGCGTTGAGGCTCAGGGCTTACCCCCAGGGAGGGCTGGTTTAACTATTCTGGAGGCTCAGGGCTACTAGATTTTGTGGGGGCCCTCTAGACTCTGGGTTGGAGCCAAAAAGAAGGGGTTCAGTTTATGGAAAGGGATGCTGGGGAGTGGGTGGGATGTTGGTCTGGGCAGGAGGGAGGGTGCAGGAGCAGGCTGGGGGCGCGGGGTCAGGACTTGCACCACCGTGGGGAGTCAATCCTCGAGCTTCAGGGGCTGGCCCGGCCCACGGGCCACAAGTTCCCCATCCCTGAACTACAGCATCAGTAGCTGTCATCTGTAACGGGGGCTACGTCTGGACTGCAGAGGGATGCAGATTAGGCACATCGAAAGGGATGCAGATTAGGCACATCGAAATTGCTAATGGATCCGGGATTTAAATAGCCCATGCCTCATTAGCAGAACCATGGCGCTTTTTTCAACACAGAGCGTTGTCGCCACAAAGCGGCAGTCTACACGCGGAACTGTCGGAAATGAACCCTTTTTCGACAGACCCTGTAACCCTCAGGACCTGTGACAGTGAGGCTTCACGGAGACGGTTAGTAAGTGGGCGGGATGGAAATCGGACGCCTGTTCCAACAGCCCGCGCTGCTGCCTGCCCGTCCTACGGGCGCTAAGCTGGTCTGTGTGTCTGTCCTGCTCAGCAAGGTCGGAGAAGGGTGAGCCAGGAAGCAGCTCTAGAAAGCGAGGATTTAGGCCGCTCCGCCTTGGCCTCTGGGTAATAAGGTCTTAACAATACAGCTGCACCGGGTCCAGCATTCGCCAGTGCAAAGCCATGGCTGGAAAAACGCCCCCACTGCACACGCCAGCCGGCCCTGCCACTAGAGGGTGCCCTTGCACTGGGCCACCAAGCACCGGAAGATGCTACGCCCTTACGCTACCACACTGGGACACCTGAAGCACGTAACTCGGGCAGCAGAGCGGAGAGCAAACAGGCATGAAGAGATCCGTGACCAGGCCACCGACTGCCATTCTCTGTACCACAAGCGTGACCAAGGCAGGATCAGGTCAGCCGCTGGCTTCTCCCCGCCCCCAAGAGGCCTTGAATTCTCCTGCCTACCTTGTTTAAAGCATGCACAGGAATGTTCAGGGCGTCGATGTCCTTCAGGTCTCTTTCAGCATCATACTTCAGATCATTGGAGACGCTGAACCTACAAGAAAGCAGGGAGCTGGCTGCCGTGCCGAGGAAAAGGCCCATTGTTCTGCCCACCAAAACCGGGGGTGCCCCGCCCCCAAGAGGCCTTGAATTCTCCTGCCTACCTTGTTTAAAGCATGCACAGGAATGTTCAGGGCGTCGATGTCCTTCAGGTCTCTTTCAGCATCATACTTCAGATCATTGGAGACGCTGAACCTACAAGAAAGCAGGGAGCTGGCTGCCGTGCCGAGGAAAAGGCCCATTGTTCTGCCCACCAAAACCGGGGGTGCGGCGTCACGGCCCCCGCAGCACCACACGGAGCCATGACAGCCGCAGGACCCGCCACT